TCATTGCAATACCCATTTGTTGGTATTATGTTCCACATGAAGTGTAACACCTGATTCAATGTATTGTGCTAAATACAGTAAGGTACATACTTCACTAAAATATGGTACTCCTAGACCAAATATCAATTCATCATTTCCCTCATGAGGATGAATGATTTTTCTTAGTGTCTAAATATTAATTAACTAGTTGAGTGTTCAACTCATGATCTTCAATCCATATGGTTCTTTAATACCATAAACATTTTGGATAGCATTGGTGTTGGCATATTGTTTGATCTGTAGCTCGAGACAATATTCCTTTCAACATTTTACAACCTTTCTAGACTCTTCAAGAGTTCCAATTTAATATTAACAACTCTTGCAAGAGATTTAGTATGTTGCAACAACATTATAATGATAACACTCACTAAGGCAATTTATTCCATCCATTGGTATTGAGTACATAATTTATGCTTTATCCGTACAAGGCTTACTTCAAGCAATTTGAATTCTTCAAGGATTTTTTACACTTCATGACACATTACCCTTTTAGAACTCATACAGAGCAATTTGCTCATGTATACGTGAAGGAATTTACTTATGGAGATATGCTTTGGGCATATATATACTTCTCCACTTAAATGATCAAGCTTTACAATGGGAGATCATGTTTACAATTTCAGGTTTCAATTGGAAATCTTCTGTCATATCATGTGAGTGTATTTCATTGTATTACAAATGTCTATATGTAACCTTCTGGGTTCAACATCATTTGGCTATTTGTACTAGAGGTCCATTTTTCCACGTTCATAATCAATTGTAATGGAATTGCCCTTCTCCATTTTTGGCCAATTTTTTTTCTTTTTGTCGACGAACAAAAGAACATGGCTCAATATCAACACAGCTCATTGATGAATTTAGTAGCTACTGTAAAACCAAAATTAACATTGTTAATCATCAATTTGTGATCCCATAATTCTCATGTGCATGCGCATGCATATTTATTAGTATTTCATCACTTTGGATATCTTTGCCTCTTCATGGGCTTTACATTGTCTCTTCTAGGATAGTCATCTCTTATTAGATGAATTGTTTGAGAATTTGGATCATAACTTCCTCTAGAGCGTTGTAGAGCTTGGATTTTTGATCTCCACTTATGGGGAATTGAATCATTGAAATCTACACATCGATCATGCTTTAGGCACGAAATATATTAAAATTGCCGTGTCCATAGATCTTCCATTGTGGAACTTGAATCCATGCGACGACTGTTATGCTTCCGGTATGCAACAGGCCAGTAGTGCCAAGTCTATGTATAGTCTGACTGAGACTTCAATCCATGCAACATCTTTGTAACTTGTAACCAATTAGTAATTTTCATTACCTTTTTGTACATCACGTGAATTATATAAACTGGTAGTGTTTGTTAGGGGCTGTGAACAGGATTCCCATCATTGAACTTTGGTCTTCCATTCACTTAGTTAGCCACTAATTTTCTCCTTTTGGACTTCTATTGCCTCATCGTTGATCATTCTGCTTTAGTCTCTTGCCCAGCAGAAGTGGTGTGCAACCTTTGCCCTTGGATGGTCCATCACTTCTCAGTGACTCGTCCATGCTTAGCAACTTCGGTGTAAAGAGTCAACAACGTACCAATTATTCTGCTGTGTTGGTGACTTGAGATCTAGCTCCAACAATAGTTGAAGATGACTACTCAAAAGCAATGCAAGGTAAGCAATCAGGAAAGGTTCTAGGCAGTCGGTTCCTGACCGAAAGTTTGATTTCAGGTTTCGACTGATTGCTTTCTTACTCTTTGCCTTGTAGGTAAGAGTAAGGGCGAAGGAAAAGACAGGGAAAAAGTATGATATAAGATACTCTTGCTCTTGACCCTAATGATATGAAATACTTTTGCTCTTGAAGAAAGACAGTAAAAGGTTTTGATGCTGATGTAAAGCTTCTCAATCAAAAATATTTCTTGCTAAGAAAATGAGTTTGGCATTTTGAGAGACTTGGTTGAAGAGGTATTTTCATAGAGAATGAAGACTGAAAATGTTGAGAGGTTTGGTTACAGATGCATTCTCAACAAGGAAAATGAGCTAGGCGTTTTGAAGGTGTGCCTTGCCATGGAGTATAGGGATTTCCCCAATAGCAGGTGGTGGTGTGAATGTGGCCTTGTCACACAAGCTTGTCGGCAACAGCGGTGTTGTTGAATAGTGAACTTTATACGTGTTAACTTTGCCAGAGTTGTCCTTGATATCTAGAAAGCTGAAATTGCATTTGAGAAAATGTTGACGAACTTTATGCAAGAAAATCCAACTTTTGAAATTTGGAGAGCAATGTCTTGATTTTTGAACAAGTGGTTGTGTTGCCTCTCCTTTTATAGAGGTATCAATTGTACTTGGAATTTATTCTCAAAATTGACATTATTCTAGTCTAATCAAGGAACTTGGGGTCCTTGTTATACTCTCATAACAAAATGTAGTACACTAAATAAATTAAAGCAATAAGCGGTAATTCCAGCCATGGTAAATAAATTGATTTTAAGTAAATAAAGCTTGTGACAAGGGCTTTGATTCAGCACCATTCACATAAATATCAAAGCTTAAAGCAAAGGGTAATAACTCCACTCACTGTAAATAAATTGCTTTAAATAAATAAAACCTGTGTTAGATGTTTAAACCAACACTATACACATAAATATACTAAAACAGAAAAGGCAATGATTAAGTCCCTAGCCTTTGCTTTTTTTTTTTTTTTTATTCTTTTCATATGGTGCAATCTGCAATGCACCATTTCTAAAGTCTAGCCCCATTTTCCCTTTTTATTCTTTCATACGTGAATGATTGATCATTCACTTTTTTCGTTCTTTTTTTGTGCACAACTAGAACCACACCTCTCCCATTGGTTCCTATTTTTTTATTCTATTTATTTATATAGGTATGGTAATGGGCTTTAAGCCCTTTGGTCAGCAAGGATAATCCCAAATAAAAAGAACCTTTGTCGTCATTGATCTCTTCACAAAAAAAGAATGGTGAGAATGATTCCGGAGTTGGACATTAGACGGGGAGTCACAAAATTGGGGACGACGAAGATGTTGGCATCTACCAAAGGATTGCAATGCCATAAAAAAAGGGCGGTCATAGGGGCAGGGCCGAGCAGCATAAAACTCAAAGCTAGAATTACCGCGAGTTCTCGAGATCCGTTGATGAGATTCTTCTGGATCTCTGGAAACCAGTTGTCTAGTACGAGTTTTCTCATCTCGTGATGACTACAGGTTGTTGTAAATTTCAATTCTCACTGAAATTCGGTGGGGCGCTTTTGGCGCGGTGGGAGAGATGAAAAATAGATGAAAAAATGGACATACCTAAGAATGATGTCATCTTGAACCATTGTTTTGGGTTTGGATAATGTGTAGCATTTTCCACTTAGGCAAGAGCTTCTCGTGCTGATAATGTGTTGTAAAATCGACGGTATGTGTGCAGTGGAATATAAAGTAAATAAGACACAATATTTACGAGGTTCGGCAGGTGTGCCTACGTCCTCAGGACAGCAATAATACTTTCTTTCATTATGTGAAATAATAAGTTTGTTTATAATGATGATAAAATACTAGATTAACTGATTTGGTATTGTATCAGGTATTGGATCAAAAGAAAACAATGAGTAGTATGAGATGAACTGTACGTAAACTTCTTGTTGGTTAGATATATGAGTCATTCCCGATGGTTGATGAGTTGTATTAAATTTCATGATGAGTTTCGAATCATAAAATTGTGTGGTGTTTTTTTTAGCGAGCATAACATCTTGATTACACTTGACATGCTTATCTTATGTCCGTTGATGATTTCTTTATAAATTCTCATTAAACAACTTTCAGAAAACGAATCCTTGTCGTTTTTAATCCATAATGGACGTAACTCGACAAGGCTCGGCTCAAACACTTAAATTGATGTCTCTTTCACTAGGTTGTATGAACTCTAGTAATGCCATTACACATGAACATTGAACTCTATTGGCTTGTTTTATATTATTTTTTCAAATAATAAACATGTTTAGATTACTTTTGACAAAACAAGTTTAAAATATTTTTATTAGTTATAAAAACAAACAATTTGAATTTTTTTTTTTTTTTTTAAAGAAGCATTTGTCGGGTACTCTTTTTAAGAAGTGCTTTTTCAAGGACTTCAGGTATTGTTTGGTATGCAGACGGGACGGGACAGAACGGAATGGGACGGGACGGGACGGGACAGGACGGGACGGAACGGAACGGAGCGGGAGCAAAGATGCCCTCGAATGGAAACAAGGAGGAAGAAGAAGGAGACGGAGAGGTTATAATTTTGTGTTCTACGGATGTGGAACGAGTCGTTCTAGGGGAGTGAGGTGGAACGAAAATTCACCCAAAACTCGTCCCGTGGAACAGCTCGTTCCACCCGTTTTAGGCACACCAAACGTAGGACGGAACGCCTTGTCCCACTCTGTTCCGTCCCGTCCCACGTACCAAACGGTACCTCAAGGAACGGTTCAAATACGCAGAGTACACGATAATTTTTTTTTCAAACTCAAAGACAAAGAATTTAGAAGTTTTAGTACTATAGTTTAGTGATATTCATCTTTATTTGTAAGCGAAATGTCTTATATTCGATTATCACGAGAGAAAAATTTGAACCATATTATTGCTAGCTTATTATTAGCCCACACCTCCACCATATTAGTAAAGCTAATATCATTTGTTAAAAGAAAAAAAGAAATTTACAAACTTAATGAAATCAAGGAGCCCAAGTCCGACATGATTAAAACCTAATGACCTAATCAAGAAGCCCAAACCAAAGCTTGAAAGAAGTCAGTACTTCCCGTCGTACAAAACACCAAGAAAGTGGTCGTACAAAACACCAAGTCAGTACGACTGACTTCCCGTCGTACAAAACACCAAGAAAGTGGTCGTACAAAACACCAAGTCAGTACTTCCTGTCGTACAAAACAACGGCGCTGCGCCCCATTTCTCGGGGAAAAAAAAGAGGGTAATCTTCTCCCCCCTTTCTGTAAATTCTGAATTTAATTGGCTGCTTTTGTATTAATATTTTTTTTGGGTAGCGTAGAATATAAAATATAAGTATAGGCTTTCTTCCAATATAAACTCTCCGGGCAAGAATAATATATTGATTCATATATAACTTCATACATAACTTTGCTGCTTGTTAGAAATTCCAATTAATGGAAAAGTTAATCTCTTTTAGTATTGTTTTGGATTTTCTGAGATTTTATTTAGTGAAAAACCCAAACTTTTCCGCAATGCTTCCTAACTTTCGCCTCAATTCAGCAGCTAATATAGTTGTGCATATGTAACCGCATTGGCATTTTAAAAGTATCAGTGCAGTTGAAGAAGAAATCATCAGTAAAAAGGAAAATAAAATCTACCCTATCACTAGATAATGATACTTTGAGACATCATTCATTTTTAGAACAACAACAAACAACAACAACAAAGCCTTATCTCACTAAGTCGATCGGCTGTATAATCCTAGAACGCTACTGTGTTTGATTTTGCGCCAAGTCTTCCATTAACTCAGTGCTTCATATCTTTCACTTTTCAAAAGGTAAGATGAAAATTTGTGTTTATTTTTTGTAAGTAAATTTGTGCAATCCTATATACCCCTTTCACTTTAGTTGCATGTGATTTGAGTTCTGGGTTATTAATGTTGAGTTACAAGGCTAAAATTTTTTCTTCATGTTTTCTTGTTATTAAGACAATCGATTGCAGTTTTAGTATGGGCTCTGTTATTGTTAATCGTAATCTGATAGTTATAATGCAAACTGAAGTAGTAGTTAGGCAGATGCCAGAATCTCTTAATCTCATTTTTCTTTGCCGTGCTGGATTGAAATGAACGAATACATCGGTGATGAAACAAACCATGCACAAGAACAAAAGGAACATGAAATAGAAGACCCTGAGCTGCTTAAGCTTATTTTACCGAATGCTGAAGATCTGCCTCTCATCCCTCCCTCTTCTGTTGAATCCAACTTCGTCTCTTATTTCGCTCCAGGTTCTTCCTAATGTGTTCATTTGATTTCATTTGATTTTTTAACATGAAAATAACACAACTATTTGTCTAATCCTAAACTATCTGTTTTTTTTGTCCTTCCAGATTTTATGAAGCCAAGACATGACCAGTACATTTATCGCCACGCCAATGGGTACAAACCCAAACCCTTTATTTCTGTTTCATATGTGTTTGTGAACTTTTCAACAGTGAAGTTGATTGTTTTTTGAATCGTAACTTTATATGCAAGATTGTGTGTGATTGGCTTGGCTCCAACACTTGTGGCTCTGAAGGAAGAAGGGGGTATCACGGCCATTGATTTCAATGTTGGGAAATCTGATCGGAGTGGGATAAAGGTTACTGGAAAGCGCAAGAAGGTATCTCTCCTTCTAATCCCAAAGAGGGAAATTAAACACACACACACACACACAGAGACACACGCGCACACATATTTAATACACCACACACACATATTTAGCACGCCATAGTGTCACTTCTTATATAGTAGTTTTCTAATGAAAATTGTTTTTATGCAGAATGCACAACACTTGGAATCCAACTCAGCCTTGTGTAAAGTTTGCACCAATGATGCTACTTATATTGTGAGGTAGAAACCTTTTTTCGTCTATATTTTCTTAGTCTTTAAATTTTCATGATTTTCCATTCAACTCCTTTGATGTATGAGGTTTGAATTTGTAGTCTTTTGACCGGTGTTGCGTAAAAGGTTCACTATTGGAAGTGAATGGTAGATTAACCAAGCAGCCAGATTTGCTTAATTCAGCAGTAAGAATCAGTTAATACCCTTTCCTTGGCAGTTGCAGATTTTTTACTGTGTCTGGAGTCACTATTGTCAAATGGAATCAACTTAGGTAGGGGTTAAGCATATATCTTTTTCTATTTGGCGTCTTTAACTGTGACATGTATATTTCCATATATTTGTATCCGGAAAAAGGTCGCTTAGTGTCTAGAAGCTAGCTAATGTGCTTGGTCAGGTAAATAACGCTGAGAGGAGAGAGAGAGACAGGTGGGGGGTTAGGATCCCTTTGAAAGTGAAATACCATGAAGATATTTTGCGTTTGAACATACCTTGGGTTGCTTTTGTTTGATCTGGGTCAGCGCATGCTACTTCTACTGGTAGAATGCATCGTTTGGTCAGTTATCTAAGAGTTCATACGGAAGGTATCTGAAGGTTTTGAGATGATCAGTTGTATTGGGATTGTTTCTGAACCCTATGATTGATTAAGAACTGCATTGATGGTAGTGGTGATGTATGTAGGCTTAGAATTCCTAGGTAACTTGAACTTGTGGAATTGAAAAGATAGTGCAAGCTTCTTCCCTTATACATGCTTGATTTTTACATCTAAAGATACCCTCAGGGCATCACACCATTGTATTTATTGTTTTGCATTTTCTTTTTTACACACAGCGTCATTTTTTACAGTCCTTTATACTACTGCTGCGATTTGTAGCCTGGTTGCTCATTCTTCATTCTTATTCCTCCCATTCCAGGCAGATAGAGAAGGATATATTGCCATTATCATGCCAAAGCCAGCAGATTGGCTCAAAGTCAAGGATTCGCTGTTAAGCCATGAAGATTACAAAAAGTTGAGGGAAGTTTCTTGACTCGTTCTGAAGTTTGCAAATTGCGCACTTTCATCACTGATCCTGGATGAAAAAGAGAAAACATTGAAATCTGCCGTCTCATCATGGTGCACACGAGATTACCCATCACTTATTCCTTGCTTGCAAGTGACACAGCTTGATGTCTTATTGCTTTTGGCAGTTACAACGCATACAAGTGGTACATGTTCTCCCCTGCTTCTGTATCATGTATACCATCAAATTTGTATCATTTCAGAAAATATGATGGTTTTAATAAAGAAAATGCAGTACATTCTTTACATTGTTTGTAGCATTACATTCTTCTGATTGAACTGTATATTTGACGCTCGTAGTCAGGTAATTAGTTGATTCATTGCGACTAATCTGCTAAATTAAGGGCTGGTGTAGTTTATGCTCCATTTATGAAAGAATTGTTCTAGTTGTACTGCAACACACCAATCCATTTTTTAATTTGTTCTGCCTTTTTTAGGTAATGGTTATTGACTTTTCAACAGATCTCTTGTCAATTTTCTGCATACGAAATGGAGAATACTAAAACTCAAAAGGAGAACAATTACGATGACAGCGAAACATTAATTTCATATCAATTATTAAACAAAAATAAAAATTCATATGAAATTCTAAAAGCACACATTTGTTTTTCTTTATTAAGGCTTAAAATGAAATGCTAATGACAGATTGAGATTTCACTGCCCTTGCCGTTACTTAAACAACATACTAAGAACAATAACAGAAGAAACCGCACAATAAAATTATCAAATTTCTACTTTTAATATTTGATGTAACCGGCCGAAGTATTCACGTCCTTTATAAGAGTCCCAAGCACTGGTGCCAACAAACACTTAGAGGAATCTTCCCTGTAAAAGAACCCTAAGCACTTACAGTCCTTGTCACACTTGGCCCTGCACTCTCCGACCTTCATTGGACCATCTCCACCATCCAAATAAGGACTCAGAAAGTGCTCAACATCCGCAACCTTGTAGTAGTTCGCTTTTGCCCCACTCTTACACTGTCCCAACTTTGGGGCTGCACAGCCCTTGCTCCAACCCAGAAGCCCTTTCGGGCTGGGGCACCCCACACACATACCCCTACTACAGTACCCATATGAACCACATTTAGATGGCAATGCACATTCTCTAATGAAATAGCTCGAAAAGAATGCGAAGCTCTCTTCCCAGTTCATGCTGTTCACTTTGTCATAATAAGTATAGGCCTTGAGATTGCCATCGGACCCGAGTCTTAGAAATGAGTACGTAGCATTGTAGTTGAGCTTGTTAAGGTTGATCTGTGTTGCGCTGCCAATGGGACGAACTTGTAGGAGGCGCCTCTTGCTTTGTGGTGGTGGTGGTGGAGCACTAATGTCCTGGTTTACATTGAACACAAGCTCGTAAGCAATGGCATCTTCGAAACCATTCGTAGTCTGACAATCAAAGGTTACAGTGCTTCCATAGTCAGTTCCTGTCCACCCGCCATATATAAGACGCTGGCCAGCGTTGTTCAAGTACATAGCGAAACCGGTCTTGTCAAGAACCATACTGTATGACCCATCAGAGCTATCAGTATCAGATTTGCGACTAACAAGCTTGTTACGACCATTTGTTCTGATTGATTGCCCCACTAGAAGAGTATCGGTAGGGTAATCAAAGCTCTGCCATATGAATCTTCCATTCTTGTCATGGAGGACCAAGTTACCGTTTTCAAGTAACTTGATGCCCGTAACACCTTTGTTGGCTGTGTTTGTTTGCCAAACAACAGTCCCATCTGCTTCTCCGAGGACTAAGTTTCCTTCTTTGCCAAAAGAGAGAGTGGCTTTCTCGTGAACCGGGTGATTCCGGTTTGCATCCCAGACCCACCGTACTTCATCATTGGGAACACCGGCTCTGATGGCGAATATGTAAGAATCTGGGGTGGTGTTGTAGAAGCATAACCCGAAAGGATTTGTATAGAAAGTATGGGAATTTGTTTGGATCACGCGGTAGGTAGCATGATATTCAATGTTTCCGTCTCCTAATTTGCCTTGGTTGATGAATTTGAAGGTTTGGTTTGCAGGGACTTGGGCTTGAATGGGAATGGCAAACTGGAAGGCAATGAGGAAGAAGAGTAGGAGAACAGCTGAATGTAAAGTTTTAGTTGCCATTTAGTGATATTTGCTACTCGTTCTTGTGGAGGATTATATATAGGCAATTCTAGTGTGAATATCTCAATAAGGCTGGGATCACCAAATTTAATCGTTAAATAAAACGTTGCCACATCATTTAAAGTGGGCAGTGATTTTCAAACTCCTGTTTTCTCTTATTGCATTGCACTCCTTGTTTTCGTCTCTTGATTCTCGCATGATTTATTCAATGTAAACGCTAGATGAAAGAGAGTGAGAAAAGAGAAGTGCGAAAATAACTTGTACGAAACGATGCTTCTGGATGCTCTAAATGTGTAGGGTACACACCTTTAGGGAGAGAAGGTAATTGAAGGACCATCTTATCCACTAGTAATAAGTTGTATATTTTGTTTGCTCAGTCAAACGAACTAGATGTATCTTGGTGTTGCACACTCCAATCTTTGTCTATTGCCTTAGCCCTTTCCCACGGTTGTTTCTTTCGGAGAGACTTTCATGAAACGGGTGTAGCTTTAACACCTTCTCTCTATATCTCTTCATTTGACTTATCAACGTGAACTGAAAGAGAATACAAGCGAACATTCAACAATTTGAAAGAAAAGTCTTTCCAAGAGTCCCTAAATTTGCAGTTGAAGTTTCCACGCCTACTCTCGACCTCTGAAAAGTCTATGGTAATGACCCGACCACACTTTACTCTTCTAGCTACCACATTAATCTTCCGGGCAGAGAGTTGGTGCACTGCACAGCTAGCAAGCCACGAATGAATGCTAGTTCAATCGAATGTGAGAAAAGAAGAGTGCGAAAATAACTTGAACAAATCAATGCCTTCTTGGATGCTCTAAATGTTTAGGGTATATACCTAATAGATGACAATTCAATAAAGGACAGCTGGGGAGACAACTTAAAGATACAGGACCATCTTATCCACTAGAAACAAGGGGTATACAAGCGAACAGTTTAAAATTTGAAAGAAAAGCCTTTCCAAGAGTTCACAGAATTTGAAGTTGAAGTTTCCACGCCAACTCTCGACCTCTGAAAAGTCCAGAGTCATTACCCGACCACACTTAGCCACCACAGTAATCTTCTCAGCGGAGAGTTGGTGCTGCCCAGCTAGCAAGCCATGAATGAATGCTGGTAGCTGGAGAACATGGTCTCATACCAAGTTGTGCTGACGTCCGATTAAGCTTATCTCTTGAATTGGAGATAGTTAAACAGCATTGTACGATTAAAATCGAAATCAAAATTGTCAATGACTAAAGTAGCCCTCATAGTTCAATATAAATAATTGCTTGCTCCCAAATACTTTACAGCATAAACCACCCAAACATGTCTTCCCCTTCACTAACCGTGTCACTGCCCTCCATAGTCATTATCTCACTCTTTGCCTTCATTGCTCAAGCCCAAGTTCCAGCAAATGAAACTTTCAAGTTTGTAAACGAAGGCGAATATTGGCCTAATATTGTAGAATATGATGCAAGCTATCGCATGCTTGATCTCTTTGCCTCCCCCTTCCAATTCGCTTTCTACAACACCACCCCAGATGCCTTCACTCTTGCCCTACGCATGGGTTTGAGGAGGTCGGAGTCGGGGTTTTATTGGGTTTGGGAGGCCAATCGGGGAAAACCGGTCGGCCAAAATGCCACCTTCGCATTTGGGACTGATGGCAACCTGGTCTTGGCCGATGCCGATGGCCAAGTGGCTTGGCAAAGCAACACCGCCAACAAAGGTGTGGTAGGCTTCAAGTTGCTTTCAACTGGCAATATTGTACTTTATGACCCAAAGGGTAACTTTGTTTGGCAAAGTTTTCACCACCCATCAGACACTTTGTTAGTGGGTCAATCTCTGCGTGCCGGGGGAGTAAGCAAGCTTGTGAGTCGGGCCTCGGAGGTAGAAAACAAAGACGGGTCTTATAGCTTGGTGATGGAGCCGAAAGGTTTGTCTTTGTACTATAAGAGCAAGAGCTCACCAAGACCATTACTCTACTTCACATCCTCCAAATGGATCAATGTTCAAAAGGGCTCACTGAACCATGTGACACTGAAAGCTTCGCCGGACACTCAAGAGGGCTTTGCTTACGACTTGAGCTTGGACTACGTTGAGGGAAACTCCACCACCGGTGGAAATGTCCTTCTTGCTAGACCCAAATACAATAGCACATCAACATTCCTTAGGCTGGAAATTAATGGAAATTTGAGGCTTCACACTTACTATAGGATACTGCGTTACGGTGCATGGGAGGTGACCTTCAGTCTTTTCGATAAAACTTCAAAATGGGAAGGCGAGTGCCAATTGCCGGAGCGATGCGGGAAGTTCGGCATTTGTGAGGACAGCCAATGTGTTGCTTGCCCATCTTCTAAGGGACTATTGGGTTGGAGCGAGACTTGTGAGCCTGAGAAGCTAACTTCTTGTGATCCAAAGAGCTTCCACTACTACAAAGTTGAAGGGGTTGATCATTTCTTGAGCAAGTACACAAAGGGAGACTCAATCAAGGAGAGTGATTGTGCTAAGAAGTGTACATTGGATTGTAAATGTTTGGGCTACTTCTACAACCAAGATACATCAAAGTGTTGGATTGCTTATGATTTGAAAACCCTAACCAAAGTTGCTAATTCCACTCATGTGGGTTACATCAAAGCACCTAAACACTAGATGATAAAGCCACAGAGAGAAAGTAGAATGTGAAATGGCAATCTAGTGGTATTTTTTTGTGTATTTTCTTCCATGTTGATTATAATTTGGTGAAATGGACAACTTAAATGTCATTTGTAATGCATGTCAGCAGAAATAATACTTATTTTGAAAATAATCTTGGATTTTGGAAGTTGGTTGTTTATTTGTTTCAAGGGTGATGGTACAAATGCTTTTCATCTTAATTATCAGGTTGGAATATAGTGGCTGTTTTGTTGAGTATGATTCTCTTTCCTCCGAATCTCTCTCCTCTTATTTGAATGGTCACGATTAAGCTATATTAATGATTTGTGTTGACTTTTTTATAGAAAGAAAAAAAAACAAATAGGAAAGTGAAAAAGGAAGAGAGGGAAGGAGAGTAAATTTGGCGAGGAGATAATCCTACTCTCTTTTTATTTTTATTTTTTCATGAAAGTCATGACAATACACCATTTTAGGATCTTCTTCTATCTTAAACGGAGTTGAAAATTTGCTTTCTCTAGAAACAATGTCTAAAAACGAAGGGAAATAGATAAACATGACCCATTTTCTTAATTTTGGGACCAAAATAGAACAAATCACTCATGCACAAGTCATGCACACCATGCACAAAATCAAAATAACGAAAATAGCCACATATAAATTGTATACTTACAGGTGATGACGTCATTTTTCTGATTGGAAGAGAGAGTTGTCAGTTCTGGGTTTTATGGTTGAGCTCAGATCTGTGAGCATATCATGTGCATGTTGTGTACATATAGTGGCACAAGTATATATAAATGTTTAATCGCATGTTGTGAGCATACCATTTGCATCGCAGATATCTTAAACATAATTTTGATCATCAAAATTTAATCCAAATCATAAATTTGCCCATAACTACAATAGCCCTCATAGACTCATAGTCAAATATATATAAATGTTTGATTCCAAGGCTTTAGAGCATAAACCACCCAAAAATGTCGTCCCCTCAACTAACCATGTCACTACCCTCCATAGTCATTTTCTCACTCTTTTTCTTTTCCGATTACGGGGCTGTGTTTGGTGAGATCTCCAGCATGGAATGATGGTTTGTGGTCTGCGGTACTTCAATGGCGGCAGATGAAGCTGGTTCTTTTAGGGTTTTTATTGTTTTTCTGTTTTGGGCTCCTCTTGGGTTCGCTTTTTTAAAAATTGTCTTGAGGGTTCATTTTTTGTTTTGTGCTTTAAAATGTATTTGGGCCCATTACTAGAAAATATTATTTTACCGACAAATATAAAACTGACAAAATAAATTTTTGTTAGCACAAAAGTTTTTCCCCGACGAAGATTTTAAGGAAGTTTTAACGAAATATTTCTGGTACTGCTCACTTTTAACAAAAAATAATATTTTTAACTTTTCCTAGTACTATTCATTACACCTTTATTTGTCATTTTTCATTAAAACTAATTTTTTTTTTTAACTTTTTATTAATTTTCCTAAATTTTAATTTGAAGGCTCCAAACTTCTAGACCTACGCTGACCAAAATTTTGTTGGCAGACAACATTCAAGCCGACGAATAAACTAAAGGTCGGCGAAAACGTGCCGGTTCGACGTCAAGAGAGGGGCGCAAATTATTAATTCCTTCCCGCCCCTTTAGTTTTTTGTCTTTTCGATTCCCCCGCTTAATTTTTTCATCGAAAGAATTTTCCCCTTAAATCTAGATACAATGTTTGACAAACCCAATTATTTGTGGATAACCGTCCTCTTTTCTCTCTCTTTCTCTCACAAATAGCTAAGCCATATACATTTTGAATTTTAAATAGAGTGGATGGTTCACATTTAGGATTGTCAATATGAGCTACAGCTGCATGAAAGGATTTATAAGGTTTTGGTGGAATAACTGAAGATTCATCTGGGTAATTGATGACTAGTAACTTGAAATGATCTTCAAATTATACACATCAGAGATATTATTAATTGTAGACAGTACTTTTCTTAGTATATTGGCAATGTGTTTGTTGGCTAGGAAGCTGTGTCATATGTGATATAGGTATTAATCTTCCCTGTTGGGTATTTTGTTACAAGTTCTTTGCTCTCAAGTATGCTGCAGGTGCAGGATGGTTGTGATTGTGCAGGTGCTAGTGCTAGATGGTTGTGATTATGCAGGGCCAAGGTGTAAGATGTGTTGTGATGCTATATGGCAGCCAATTTTGAAGAATGACAGTAGGATAATTTTATTAGGAAAAAGGATTCTCTCCCCTTTTTTTTTTTCCTTCCCTTCCCTCCCCTCCTATTTGAACGGTCACGGTTAAGCCACATCAACATCTTATATTAATTTTTTATAGAAAGAGAAAAACAAAATAGAGAATGTGAGAGGAGGGAATGGAAGGGGATGGAAAGAGGAGGGAAGAGAATCCTAGTCCATAACTAAAAGGGACCAAATGCAAATACAATAATAAATTGATCTATCCCATACTAGGTGGTACTTAAAATTTCATATAACCCACTTTTAGTGGTTAGGTGCCTTGATGTAACGCACATAAAATTTCATATAACCCACTTTTAATTTCATATAACGCACATAAAATTTCATATAACCCACTTAAAATTTCATATAACCCACTTTTAGTGGTTAGGAACGTTGATGTGCTGTTGTATTTAGGCCTACCGAGATAAATGTTTCCACTTGAGGAAGAGTTGGCCACTCGATAACTCGATAATCTAGGGTTAGGTCGTAAGCATGACCCTCATCAGTTTCCAGGGCACCGTTTAGACTCACGAGGACCAGTGAGTCTTGAATAGTAATTCGTTGAGAAAATGAGAAGTAGAGTTGCGGTTTTGGAGAGTTGCTGCTTTTGTAGTACAAAGCCAACCCTTTGGGCTCCATCACCAAGCTGTAAGGTCCATCTTTGTTTTCTTTCTCGGATGCACGACTCACGAGCTTGCTTACTACCCCGGCTCGCAGAGATTGACCCACGAGCAAAGTGTATGCTGGGTAGTCAAAGCTTTGCCAAATAAACTTGCCCTTTAACTTTAAGTTGTGAAGGACCATGTTGCCATTTGGAAGCAACTTGAAGCGAACCACACCTTTGTTGGTGGTGTTGGTTTGCCAAGCCACATTTGTCCCAAATGTTAGGGTGGCATTTTCGCCGACTAGATTTCCCCTGTTGGCTTCCCAAACCCACCGAAAGAGCGACTCCGACCGCCTCAAACCCATGCCACTACTAGAAATTTCCACTTTGCCAACAAAATTAGTTTGTCGGTAAAAGTCAAAATTCGTCGGCAAAGAGCCTTTTTCAATGAAAAATTTTGTCGCTAAAAGCATGTCTCGCAAGATCTTTCTCGACGAATCTTTATATTTCGTCGGCTCATTTTTAAGGCAAAATTATAATTTCTAGTAGTGTGCGCAGAGCAAAAATGAAGGCATTTGGGGTGGTGTTGTAGAAAGCAAGTTGGAAGGGGTGGCAAAAGGATTAAGCATATAATAGCTTGCGTCATATTCTGTAATGAAAGGCCCAAATTCTCCTTCGTTGACGTACTTGAAATTTGATTTGCTGGAACTTGAGCTTGAGCAATGAATGCAAATAGTGAGAAAAGAAAGAAGGAGAGCAATGACATGGTGAAGGTTGGGAACTGCATTGTTTATGTTGTTGGGAACTGCATTGTTTATGTTGTAGAGCAATGACATGGTGGTCTATTAATTTATAGTAGTGTAAGAGGGCTAACCACAGTCATCGAACGAGAGTTTAAACTTTTACATAGATTTGAACTGAATATGAATTTGGATCTTGACAAGGATGGTCCAAAAATTCATCTAGTTGCTTTAGAGTCTTTTTTCTTTTTTGGACAACAGTTGCTTTAGAGTCTTTAAACGCCAAAATTGAATGAAACCCTACATTTCTGTATCAGTAGGGTACAATTCTTATACGTAGATAAACTTTCATGTTAAAGCTTTTTATTATGCGCCAGAGTATACTATATTTAGATTTTTAATTGTTGAATTTTTACAAACGAATCATTAATCACATATTTAGTTCGTAATATACATTATAACATAATAAAATTTTCGTGAAAGTAAAAACTATACACAACTGTTATTTGGTCAAATATGTAGCAACTTGGTTTGACCAAACAAAAAATGTAGCAACTTGGGGATGCAATTACTCAGAGGGCGCATAATGTGATGGCCGACGTACCAACTTTCTTGTCAAACGGGGAGGCTACTAGATAATGTACTCCAGCTACAAGCCAGGCTCCAGCACGGTCATCAATCCATTTCAGCATGGGGCATGATTTCAACTAAAGGGCTCAAACGGTCAAACCTACTGATGCATGCACGTATGACTCGGCTCAGCAAACACAAAGTTTAAATACCAACTACCTTTCATAGATAGAATGGAACTTTAACGAAAAATTTCTAAAATTGTTCATTTTAACGAAAAGTAATATGAATGAGATTCCGGGTTCAAAGAAATGATGAGATGGTCCTGCATCGTGTTATTCCTCAATTTATTTATTAGCCAAACGATTTACAGAATTTCATATTAATAATCGGAATCGTTCATATTATAAATCATTCTATAAATATCAACTCTAAAAAAAAATTAATTAAAATGAAGTTTATTTAGTCAATCAATTGCAGGAATAGATAGATGGTTTGTAATTCTTTTATCAAATTCGTTCATCTGTTTTTATATATGTGAATGATCAAACGATCTCATATTTAATTGATTTTTTTACAAAAATGATACATACGGAGTAGGAATTCCTTCTCAATTATTGAGCACCTAAGTTAATTTCATTTGTAAATTCAAATCCTCATTAGTTAGCAAGTAACATATACGACTAACCAAATGCCAATTTCAATTTCTCCTCGTGGGAGGCTTTTATATATAGGAAGCATTTAAAGGAAGAGATCCCTTTTTTTTTTTTTATAAAAATGGGCATTGATTTTTTGAATCCTTACAACATCAAACTTTATCGATCCGAACCGTCTATTTTTCAAGTTGTACCTCATAGATCATCTTACAAAGTATTAGCTAAATCGAAAATATTGGAGGCATCTAAATGAGTTTAAAGAAATTGATGAACACTTTGTTCCTAAGAAACAATGAAATTTCAACGTATTAATTAAACAGGCAAATGGTTTCGGATTAAATTGAATTTTTGCAAGTATGATCTATGAATCAAGACTTACAAAATAAACGATTCGGATTGTTGAAATTCACTGTGGAATGGGCACGTGGTTAAGAGTGATGCTTAAGTTAAGAGTGATCTATGAGTCTTTGATGCTTAAGTTAGTTAAGAGTGATTAAGGGGGCACGTGGTTAGTGTTTAGGGTAGTAAATGGTAATAGTGGCTTTCTTTCTATTAAGAAATGACTTACATGGAATGGTTTACTGTTATTGTAGTGTCTCAGCTTAATAATACAATGTCATGTGTAATTTTTTTTTTTTTCGTGCAAGAGGAAGGCATAGGGAGAGCAAGCATGTGATAGCTTGCATCATACTATGTTAGGCTAACAAACGAGTTATGTTTGTCGTGTTCTTGTCATTTTCGTGTCATGCTCGTTACCTTAACAGGTCGTTTCGTGTCAAATTCATTTTCTTATTAGGTGACGCGATTCGTTAATGGGTTATGTCATTTTGTGTTGGATTAACAGGCATGTAAGAAATTGACAAGCCTAACAACTAAATCTAGCAAACGATATTTTATTGGGTTCTTAACGGGTGATCCGACTCGTTTACGGATTCTTAACGAGCGACCTAATAACAACCTGAATCGTTAACAAATTGATCTGAAATCCATTATCTTTGTATTATTCATGTCGAGCTAACAGATCATGCAAGAAATTGTCAGGCTACCCAAATTCTCCTTCTTCATTGATGTACTTGAAAATTTGATTTGCTGGAACTTTTGTTTTCTTACATTTTATTTTATCAAAGGTAAAATTCATTACCAAGAGAACACAAGTACATACATGGGGCCACTACTAAAAATTTCGGCTTTACCGACAAAATTAGTTTGTTGGCAAAAGTCAAAATTTGTTGGCAAAGAGTCTTTTCCAACGAAAAATTTTCGTCAGCCATTTTGTCGGGCAAAGCATGTCGTGCAAGAACTTTCCCAACGAAATTTGGTATTTCGTCAGCTAAGGTTCAACTTTTCCCGACAAACGCCTTTTTGTCAGCATTTACATCTTCCCTGACAAATATTTTCATCGATAGAGGCCTTTTAAGCCAACAAATAATACTTTTCAGCCAACAAAATGTGTTTGTCGTCGTGGATATTTCGTCGGCAAAGTCTTCTATCTCTTGACAAAATTAGTTTCGTCGGGAAGACAACTAATTTATAAAAAAATAAAATAATAAATGATTTAATGCTAGCTACTACATATGCACATCAAAATACAATACACAAAAATTGTTAAGAAATAATACTTTATTGATTGACAAGTTTGGAACGTACATGTAGAGTACTTATACAAAAGCATGTCACCCAATAAAATGGACTACGATTTTCTCTCTTCATCTTTCCATCTTGTTCCATCCCCTCCTCTAATATTCTCTATTTTGTCTTTCTCTTTCTATACAAAAATTAATATAAGATGTTGACGTCGTTTAACTGTGACCGTTCAAATAGGAGGGGAGGGAAGGAGAGGGAAAAAAAACAAGGGAGAGAATCCTTCTCCTTTAGTTATTGGGTCAGAGCCTTGTGCTTTTGGGAGATGATGACAATATTATGTACTTTCAGATAGCCTCTAGGCCTTTGCATAAAGGTATTAATTTCGAGAAATGTCTCGTTGTAGCGCAAATAATTTTTTATTTTTTATCTTTCATTACAGAATATGATGCAAACTATCGTATGCTCGCTCCCTTTGCTACTACACAAACAGAAAATTACAAGAATTGAATCACAATAACGGTAAACCATTTCATGTAAGTTATTTCTTAAAACAGAAAAGCCAATATTAACTTTTACAGGTATATAATTACCATTTACTACCCTAAACACTACCACGTGACCCCTTAATCACTCTTAGTTCAATGGAGCATCAAAGAATCTTCTGCTAGTACCAAAATGGTGCCCTTCATACTTTTCTTTCCCGTAGATTACTTAACATCTCCACTTGTTAACCGGAGCACGCCATTAGAGGCCACCTTCATCCACTATCCGTTGGTCCAACTTTTATTCGTCAACAAATTCAGTGAACACTCTGGACAACTGTATGATGTTGGACCAAGTGGCAATGGACTAGTGGCAAAGAGAAAAGCCACCCACGAGGAGGAACTGAAGTTGGCATCTAGTTAATTGTATATGCGACTTGCTAGCTAATGAGGATTTGAATTTACAAACGAAATTAACTTGGCTCCTTAATGATTTAGGAGAAGTTCTTCTTAAATTCACTATGCCACTGATTTACTAAACTTTATGCTTATGATCAGAACGGTTTATGTCATAAATTGCTCTGTAAAGATATTTCTTCAAAAATCATTTAAATATGAGACCATTTAATCCTTCAAATATATTAAAACAGATGGACGAACTCCGTAAAGTAATTACAAACCGTCTATTTATTTACTACAGAATAATGTTACACGTATTATCTACTTGTATCATCATTGTATCATATCTCTAATAAATAGAGGAATAATCCAATTGATGGTACAAATACGGATAAAACTAACATTTTTATTTGCTATAATTCATTAATTAAACAAATGTAATTTTAATAAATATTTCTTTTAAATTAATTTTTATAAAATAATTTATAATATCAATAACACTGATTGTAAACACAAAATTTTATAAATCAACTATTAAAACTAAAAAATCAATCATGATGCAAGACCAGATCCCATTATCCCTTTGAAAGCAGAATCTCGTGTATATTGCTAAAATTGAAATATAATAGCTGTCAAACTTGTCTGTATCAATTTCTAGATTTTTGTGTGGATAAGATATAATTCTATATATGGAAAGTGGCTGGCATATGAACTTTGTGTTCGCTGAGTCATACATGCATGCATTAGTAGGTCGAGTCCTTTATTTGAAATTATGACACGTGCTGAAGAAAATGGTTTAATGCAGTGTGCTGGAACCTGGCTAGTAGCTGGAGTTAATTGTCCAGTAACCTCTAGGACGAAAATTTTTTTCATTATGATCGGAATGATACATCACGTATTATTATATAAATTGTGGGATGTGTGTGTTAAAAAGTTAATAATTTAAAAAATAAAATTTATCACCACTTTTATAAAAACACGTAATGTACCACTCATATTCCGATTACAATAAAAAAAATTTCCTGCTTGAGGACAACGTTGGTCAGTCATTACATCCCCAAGTTGCTACATAATTGACCAAACCAAATAACAGTTGTGTATAGTCTTTACTTTCGCGAAATTTTTATTATATTTTAGTGTAGGTCATGACTAAATAAATAAAAAGTTAAATGTGTGACTAATTGTTCATCAGTTAAAGATTTAGCGACCTAAAATTTACACACACACACACTCTCTCTAATGAAAGTTTATCCACATATCAAAATTGTAGCCTGCTAATGAAGAAATATAGGGTTTCCATATTGTTCAAAGTTGGCGTTTGAAGACTCCAAAGTAACTCGATGAATTTATTTGGACCATCTTAGTCACAATCCAAATGCACATTCAGTTCAAATCTATGTAAAAGTATAAACTCTCGTTCAATGACTATGGTTAGCCCTCATCCATTAGTATAAATAGACCACCATGTAATTGCTCTACAACATAAACAAGGCAGTTCCCAACCTTCACCATGTCATTGCTCTCCTTCTTTCTTTTCTCACTACTTGCATTCATTGCTCAAGCTCAAGTTCCAGCGGATCAAACTTTCAAGTACGTCAACGAAGGAGAATTTGGGCCTTTCATTACAGAATATGATGCAAGCTATCGTATGCTTGATCCCTTTGCCGCCCCCTTCCAACTTGCTTTCTACAACACCACACCAAATGCCTTCACTCTTGCTCTACGCATGGGTTTGAGGCGGTCGGAGTCACTCTTCCGGTGGGTTTGGGAAGCCAACCGGGGAAACCCGGTCGGCGAAAATGCCACCCTAACATTTGGTACGAACGGAAACCTTGTCTTGGCCCATGCCAATGGCAAAGTGGCTTGGCAAACCAACACCGCCAACAAAGGTGTGGTAGGCTTCAAGTTGCTTCCAAACGGCAACATGGTCCTTCACAACTCGAAGGGCAAGTTTATTTGGCAAAGCTTTGACTACCCAACAGACACTTTGCTCGTGGGTCAATCTCTGCGAGCCGGGGCGGTAAGCAAGCTCGTGAGTCGTGCATCCGAGAAAGAAAACAAAGATGGACCTTACAGCTTGGTGATGGAGCCCAAAGGGTTGGCTTTGTACTACAAAAGCAGCAACTCTCCAAAACCGCAACTCTACTTCTCATTTTCTCAACGTATTCCTATTCAGATGAACTCATTGGTCCTCGTGACACTAAATAGTGCCCCAGAAACTGATGAAGGTCATGCTTATGACCTAACGCTAGAATATCAAGAGGCCAACTCTTCCTCAAGTGGAACCGTTTTTCTCGGTAGGCCTAAATACAACAGCACATCGACGTTCCTTAGGCTCGGAATCGATGGGAATGTCAAGCTTTACACTTACAACGACAAGGTGGATATCGGTGCATGGGAGGTGACCTTCGCTCTTTTTGATAGAGATAATTCAATATGGGAAACTGAGTGCCAATTGCCCGAGCGATGTGGGACATTTGGCCTTTGTGAGGACAGTCAATGTGTTGCCTGCCCTTCTTCTAAGGGACTATTGGGTTGGAGCAAGAGTTGTGCGCCTGAGAAGCTGACTTCATGCGATGCAAAGAGCTTCCACTACTATAAAGTTGAAGGAGTTGATCATTTTTCGAGCAAGTACACTAGTGGAGCTGCTGTGAAAGAAAACGACTGTGCTAAGAAGTGCACTTCGGACTGTAAGTGTTTGGGCTACTTTTTCAAGCAGGATACATCAAGATGTTGGATTGCTTATGATTTGAAAACATTGACCAAAGTAGCCAATTCAACTCATGTGGGTTACATCAAGGCCCCTAACCACTAATTAAGTATTACCAATATGGGATAGTGTTGAGATGTAAGCATGTTGCATATCATCACATATCAAATTCTGCTTTATGTTCTTCATTTGAATTTTTTTTGGGTTCTCAAATGTTTTAGTTCTACTTGCAATGTATGGCTATGATTATAACATCTCAATGGCTTTTAATATTCCAACTGTCATAGCAGTTGTGTAGAGTAAGTCATGCATATGTCATGCACATGAGTGTGTGTTGAGTCTGTGGCTCATGGAGCGTGTGATGCTCCAATGGCCACTTTGTTTTTCCCTTTGTTTTCAGATCTGTATTCACACACATACTGAATGAATAAAAAGGAGTTATGCACTCCAACCTTCTTATTCCTCTAGCTCTCTAATTTCTTTGCTCAAAACTAAATCGAATCATCAAATACAATTCAATTCATTAAGCAAACACTAATATGGGCTTAGAGCTTGGTTCGATTTGAATCAAGGGATGTGAACTGCCAATTTGGTTTCTAGGTTTTCCAACAAAGAACTCAAGCAATTCAAAGCTACGATGTCTGAATCTAGAGCTTATCTTCGAGCTTCAGTACTCACCAGAGTGAATTACGACTTCTAGTGCATCAAGACTAAGACAATTTTCAAGTCTCACAATATATGGAAGTTCGTTGACGAACGATATAAACTTCCTTCACATTCTAATGATGAGCCAACAGAAAAGCAACAAATCGTTGCTCAGGATTTGATTGCTTATGATGCTAGGGCCTTGGGATTCATACAAATTCAGTCTCGGATGAGATTTTTCCTCAGATTGAAATTAAAAGATGACCAATGCAGCTTGGGATAGTTTGAAGCAGGAGTACAGAGAAGACTCACAAGTTCGATCCGTGAAACTTCAAGGTATTCGACAAGATTTTGAATATGTTTGTATGAAGAGTACCGAATCTTTATCTGATTATTTGACTAGACTAATTGATTTAATTAATCTAAGTAAGGATGTATGACGAAGAATTGTCAAATAAATGAACTGTTGATTAGTCATAGTCCTACATTTGAGAATATTGTGTTTATGATTGAGGAGACTAAGAATTTGAGTGAGATTGATTCACCTGAGGTGGTTGTTATGCTCAAGGGGTTTGAACATAAGTTAAATAGACATACTGAGGATAGAGATGTAACTGAAATAGTATTAAGTAACCTTAGTATGCAACCTAGAAATAACTCATGTGCTAATAGCTCAAATAATAAGAAATTTTGGAAGAATATGGTGTTTACCCTCAAAATTTGCAGGTCAAACTCAACCAGGTTAGGTTGATGTCTCAAGAGGTTTAAAACTATTGTTGAACTACAATCTAGTTATCAACAATTAACTATTGACAACTCTCCATAGAAAAATGGGGTTACAGAAAGGAAAAATAGGACTATGGTTGAGATGGCAAAAAGTATGCTGCATGAGAAGAAGCTACCTTGCAACCTCTAGGGTGAAGTTGTTAACACAACAGTCTAGGTACTGAACAGATGTCTACAAAGGCAATGAAGGATAAAACTCATTTTGAAGCATGTAGTGGAAGAAAACTTAGAGTGAAACATCTCAAAGTCTTTGGATGTTGTGGTATAGTCACATTACTAGACAGTTGAGACACAAATTGGATAAAACTCCAATCAATGGGATCTTTAGTGGTTATGAAAAGGCTGAAAAGAGATATAGAGTTTTCATTCTTGAGCCAAAGAAGACCATATGTTTTAGGAGTGTGTTGGTTGATGAAAATACAATGTGGAGCTGGACAATTGAAAATGAAGTGTCAAGGCCAATTCCAGTGAATTTGCAGTTGAATGAGAATCTCGATGAAATTGAAAATGTTGAAATGGATGCAGTTGCAAGACCATCACAGTTAGAACAGAGCAGTTTCTGAGGAGATTATTTCAAGATTCTATGACTGAGATAAGAGAATTAAGCTATCCAAGCACAATTAAAACCACTCGATGATCTGTATGCTAGATGCAATTTGAGCATAACTAAGCATGAGTGATATGAAGTTGCTACTAATGAAGCTTGGAAGAAACTTATGAATACATAAATTAAGATGATTAAGAAGAATCAACATGAAAATTGGTTGACAAGCCAATAGATAAACCAATTGTTGGTGTCAAATGGGTTTTCATGACTAAATTCAACCTACATTGTACTACACATAAGCACAATACTAGATTGTTAGCCAAGGGTATTCTCAGAAACCTGAGTAGATTACACTAAGACATTTTCTCCAGTTGCAAGACTAGACACTATAATGATCATTATTGCACTTGCAACTTAGAGAAGTTGGAAGTTATATCAGCTTGATTTCAAGTTAGCTTTCTTGAATGGAGTGTTAAATGAGGAAGTGTATGTGGATCAACTTGAGGGGTACATTGTTTCATGCTATGTAAACAAAGTATCTAAGCTCAAAAAAGCTCTTTATGAACAAGCTCCAAGAGCTTGGTATGAGAAAATCAACTTCTATCTGCTTTAATGTGGTTTTCAAGGGAGTCTCAGTAAGGCCACAATGTACATCAAGATCAAAGAGAAGGAGAATAATACATTGTTTCTATTTATGTAGATGATATTGTGTACACTGGAAGTATATGAATTCAAGGTTGACATGATGAAAAAAAATATGAAATCACAAACCTTGGACTATTGTATCACTTTCTGAGAATGAGAATTATGCAGTCTAAGAAAAGAAATTTCATAAATCCGAAGAAATATTCCTTGGCTTTATTAGAAGAGTTTGACTTGAAAGATTGTAAGCTTGTAAACATTTCTCTTGCAACGAATAATGAATATTAGAATAATAATGGCAATGAATCTGCAGATGAAGGTGTGTATAGACAAATGATAGGTGGTCTATTTCATCTAATAGCCAAGACCTGACACTATGTTTGCTGCCAGTTTACTATCTAGATTCCTAAATAATCCAACTAAGAAACTTCTTGGAACTGCAAAAGAGTAGTCAGGTTTATCCAAGGAACTATTGACTTTGAAATTGAATGTGTGAAAGGAAAGTCTGCATTTGTTTATTATGATAGTGATTGAAGTGGTGATGAAAATGATATGAAAAGCCTTTGAAGTATGTCTTTTCATTTGGCAGTAGCATTTTTTCATGAGCATCTGTGAAGCAACATAGTGTTGCATTCTTAACTGTTGAATATGAGTATGTCAGTGCTTCAAAGGCAACAACTCAAGCAATTTGGCTTAGATTTGTGTTGGAAGATTTGGAGAAATTCAAACTTATGCAACTACACTCTATTGTGATAACATCTCTGCAATTGCTAAAATAAGAAATCTAGTTTTTCACCAGATATCAAAGCATATCAATTGCAGATCTCACTACATCAGAAATGCCCTACAAGAGAACATCATTGAATCCATGTATTGCAAATCTAAGGAGCATGTAACAACCTGTCCCGAGATTTACGTAAGAAAATACTATTTTTGTATTTTCACTAAGTTTGAGGGATACCTTCCTTTTTAAAATTGTTTTTGAGTCTTAATTGGTGAGCCCAAGGGGCCCACCCCCTGTTTTGTCCCTCGGTTCCCTTTCCCTTTTTGTTTTTATTTTCCTGAAAAGTCTTCTCTTCTTTCTTCTCTCTTTCTTCCTCCGTGCTCTCTTTTCCCCCCTCTTGGTGCTTTTTTCTCCAACAAGAACACACACACCCATGCCCACACCTATAGCTCTTTTCTAACCCTGTGGTTGTGTTTTGGACGTCAAACCATGAAGAAACCACCTCGGAGACATTTCCCCAGTTTTCCAGCGAGCATAGCTCCTTTCGAGGCAATTTCCGGCCAAACCACGATGATTTGGCCAGCGTGCAAGGTATCAATCTCTTCGTCTCGCTGAGTACTACAACTTTCCTTTTTGTTTCACCCAATTTCATTGAGTATTGAAGAAGTTATACTCATTTGAATCTTACCCAGTTTTCGGCGACCTCAGTGACTTTCGAGGAAATTTACGACCAAACCACGGCGAGTTGGCCGGCATGAAAGGTATCAATCTTTTCATCTCGCTGAGTACTACAACTTTCCTTGTTGTTTCACCCAATTTCATTGAGTATTGAAGAAGTTATGCTCATTTGAATCTTACCCATTTTCCGGCGGACACCCGTGGCTTCCAGGCTGTTTTCCGGCCAACTCCGACCACGATGACGGGAACCAAGGGTATATTTCGATTCCTTACCTTCGGGGCTTCAATTTGATATATTGAATGACATGTTTTGGTTGAGTTTTGAGCACCATCAGAGCTTGGGAATTCTCTGGCCGAAATCCGGCCTTCTCCCTCCTTGGAATCCGGTGAACCACCCAAACCCAAGGTCTTTGGGCCTTTCCTGCCAAGCCCAAAACCCTTTTAAATTGGGCCATTGGGCCGTGAGGTTCAAGCCCAAACCCAACATACCTAAAACCTAAACCCATTTACCCTAACCCAAACCCTTTAGGCCCAAACCCGGATCCAACCCAAGTCCAAACCCTTTAACCCAATCCGGATCCAAGCCCAGACCCGTTTGACCTGCTGACCCTGACCCGGTCTGACCGTTGACCCGGTCAACGGTCAACGTTGACTTTGACCGTTGACTTTTTGGGTTTTCAACGTTCTGAACCCGTTTCCGATGTCCGTTTTCCTAAATTCAATCGTTTGAGTAGAGTTTGACTAAATATACCATTTTTGTGCTTAGGGGCGATTATCTGTGGCGTTTCCTTCTTCGCTAGATGGCGTGGCTTTTCCACGACGAAGTACTGTGAGTGGACCCCTTCTAAAAATGCATGTTTTGATAGTATAAATGCATACATGAAAAGCATGATTTGATGATTATGTTTTACGAAACGTTTTGAGATAACATTCTTAGTGAGGCTAGTTTGAATTATTATTATTTTTCCTATAACCCATGTTCTTATAGAATATCTGATGGATGATGATATGATATTTAGAACATGTTTAGAACACCTCTTTATAGTATAGATGATGCATGACTTTATACTATGAAGTTGATTTTCAATATATGTATGTTCACTGGTTTTGTACTTACCTAGTGGTGCTTTCCGCTACAGGACGTAGGGATAGATCCGGTCAGTCCCGGGCAACGGTTTGGTGTTGGCATAGGGCCTGAAGTGTGTTTTCCTCTGACTGTCTGCTCAGAGACGGGGAGCCGGCATGGGACCTGAAGTGTATTTTCCTTTGACTGTCGGCTCAGAGACGGGAAGCCGGCATGGGGCCTGAAGAGTTATCGGACATTCACTAGTGTTTATTATTTATGCGAATTATGATTTGAGACACTGCACGACATGCTAGGTTTCGGAAAACCTATGTTTATCATTATATATTTGTGTTTTCATAAAACCTAGGGGTTA